GTATTTATTTATATAACTGCGGCACTTTATATCAGTGACGTGGTTTTAATTAATTATTGACACATTTAATTAATTGTTTATCGCTGTATTTATTTATATAACTGCGGCACTTTATATCAGTGACGTGGTTTTAATTAATTATTGACACATTTAATTATTTATTTAATGCTGTATTTATTTATATAACTGCGGCACTTTATATCAGTGACGTGGTTTTAATTAATTATTGACACATTTAATTATTTATTTAATGCTGTATTTATTTATTTAATTTTGGCACTTTTTATCCTCCATACAGGTGACCTTTGCTCTGTGGCCACAGTCCTCCATGGCCCAGTACCAATATTACACTCCTGCCATGATTCATTTTCTGTTTTAATAAATCTATACTATAAAAATAAAGGCATTCATAATTTGTTATTGCTGTTGTTTTCATTATTATAATTAATATGTTACAATCCTGCCTTTATATTATCCTATATTATGATAATAACACAAAAAAAACAATTTCTTCTGAAACACTTTTTTTTATTCTGACTTTGCATTTTACCTTGAGGGTTTAGAGGACGGTCTTTTATTTCCAGGTGGATCATCTAAATAAATGGTCCTCCTGATTATCAAGCATTTTGGTGATATGTTTATGTAAGGCCGTCATACGTGCTCGTCCAGTTAGCTAACTGTTTCTGAGCATGCACACTTTCAGGTATATATCTGTGGTGGTGAGCTACGGTTTCAGACAGTCATTGAAGCTCACCTTTCTCCATGGCCAGTTCTAGACAGGGGCCAATGTGGGCCAGTGCCCCTGTAGAATATGTCCTGGCCCCTGTACTGAAGACATAATACTTAAAGGAAATTCTAATAATGATCTGGGCTTGAACAGACATGATTACTGATAGGTCATTTGGATCTATTTCATTGTTTCATTACAAATTCTGTTTTACTAATTATTCAAAAACAAGGTGATAGTTTCAGTGGTACTGAGATAGGATTTTTTCCCCCCACAAAAAATAAAAAAAATGCTATAATTTTTACAGATGAATTTAGCAGTTCTTCTTGAGTTCAAATTTATAGAAAACTGTAGTTTTAACTTAAATTAAGTAAAAAAAATATGTAAAATTCCTAAATTTTAAATGTATATTGACCTCATAAGAAATAGAATTTTTATTTAACCTCATCGAAAAGAAATTTCCCTTCATGCAGCTCTCTTTATATATTTGAATCTCTTGCCCTGGTTATTTATTTCATGCTTTTCTGGGCCCCCATGAAAACACTCTGGCCCCCTCCTGGCCCCCTGGTACATTTGGTCTAGATACGCCACTGCCTTTCTCACTGCGGTTCTTTGAAAATGGCCGAGGGTCATAAGAGAAAAAGTGTCAACGAAGTGGATATGAAGAAAAGAAGGGCCTCAGACGATAGATATATCCCAGAATGCTTTGCGTGGAGAGCTCTACTCACAAAGGCTGCTGATACCTGACAGCAGCGACTAATAACAAAGATGGCGCCGGCACCTCGCAGTGGAGGAGGAGTTACATGACCATTGGAGCAAAAAGCTGTGATCATCTGTCATAAAGTCTGCTATATAGTGCCTGCTCTATATAGTGATTGAGGGATTTAGGGGTTAGGGCGGACATTCGGACGCAGTAAGCTTCCGCTAGCTATGAGAACTGTTAAACAGGGCGTGCACGAGGAGAAATGGGCTCGTGCATTTCTTTCTAAAGTGGAGAGGGCGTTTCTTTAAAAGAAATTGCAAAAATCCTCCACAATACCTTTTAATGAATTATAATGCTCAGTATTAGAAGACAAAGTATTATATTACGGTAGTAATAGTGGTGGGAAATTATTTTACAATTAGTTAAAAAAGTGAAGTGTGTTTCATTTCTGTTTACTTTACTGCCAGTAAATTCTGAACCAGCAAACGTATTTGAATGTTAACATTTTTTTTTAACTTGGGTTAATTTTCTAATCTGTTCAAAATAACATTATAAGGACGTGCAGGTGGAGCATTAACCTGACTCCGCCAGATGGATTTGCTCCGCATATCCATCTGGAAACCTT